GGTGTCACTTGCTTTCGGTCGACTGGTTATGAGGCTGCTGAGCAGATGTCCTCAGGAACTGCTCATCAGAGAGGACCTGGGTTCCACTCGTCCTAGGTGTCCCCAAGCGCCAAGGGTTCCCGTTGCCCCAATCACAAACCCTTTTCGAGAGGCAGGCCTTGGCAGCCACATCTCAAACCCCTCGCGGATGCCCTGCCCCTTAGCCCCAGTCCAAAGGAGCTGCCCCGGGAGCTCCTGGAGGTGGAGGCGTCCGAGGGGCGCGTGGAGTGCCGGTGGAGCCGGACGCACCTCCCCAGGAATCGAACTGCAGGTCTGGAGAACTGGCCACTAGGAAGCGGGAAGAGGCTTGATGGGCGCAGCCCCAGGAAACTCAAGTCCCCAGGTCACGTGTGGTCATGGCGGGCCAGGCCAGGCGGCGTCTGGGCAGTGGGAAGCAGGACCCACAGAGCAGCAGACAGGTGAGCAGCGCCCCTGCAGGGAGGCTTTCGGCCCACATTCCTGGAGCCCGGGTGGCGCTCTGTGTCCACAGGCTGCACGGGGCACACTCAGGTCCTTCCAGGGCCAGGCTGCCATCTCCCTCCTCCAACCGGCTCCACAACTTAGGGTTCCTTTTCATCATCAGAAGCACCTAACAGGTGAGGCCGGTGTCACACCGGATGCTTGCTTTCAGTTTGCATCCCCAACCCCAAAATTACAGCAGGCTGTCCCTGGTCCGGAGCCCAGAACGACAACACTGTGCGTGTCTCCTCGGGCCCTGAACCTCCAGACACCCTCCTGGGTGCTGGCCTTCACCCAAAACCAAGAGATACAGGACAAGGAGCTTGCTCATCCCTCCGGTCCAGAACACTGCACCCTCAGAGCAGCCAACCCTGCCTGGGGGCCCTAACCTTTCCAGGCTGAAGGGCATCCTTGTCCGACCGGTGTGGCCCTCAGTACAGCTGCTGTCAGTCAGGGCACAGCCCCCACTCCTCCTCCCCAGCCTCCCACACAGCAGGGCAATGTGAATGCGACCGTTCCTGCAGCTCAAGTCTGATGCAGTCCACAGGCCTCAGGCCGAGATGAGGCCCTGCCGCCTCTGCCCCACTGCCCACTGCACTCAACTAGTGGGTTCATTTACAGACGTGTCCCCTCCCGCCTCACGCCCCCGCCCTGAGGCAAAGCCCAGTTCATCATTTGAAGTGCTGCCTCTTTCATAAAGCTGCCCTCCAAGTCCCCAGTTACTTCTGCCCTTTACAGTTCCACCCCTCCACCTGTGCCTGCTCTGGTCTGGGGTCCCCTGCAGGGTGGGGACAAAGGGCAACTGCAAGCCCACCTGAAGACTATGGAACACCAGCAGGTCAGGGTACGAGATGGGGGGGGCGGCGTGCATGCCCCACTCCTCTGGGACCTGGTCTGTCTGACAACAGTTGTTTCACATGACTCCCGCCCCCTCAGCCGCAGCTTCCCCCCAAGGACACGCGGGGAAGCTGCTACCCCACGTCCCAGGCAGGGATCGGACGGGTCTTCCGAGTGCCACAGGAGGACCAAATGTTAACTCAGGCGGAAGCCATGGGGTCCGGCTCCCACGTGGGTGTGCTGTTGACCTTGGGCCAGTCCAGTCTCCTCTGGGCTTTTCTTCTCCATGTAGTGTTACCAAATCCCTGTACCACCAGCCACACGGGGTGCTTTGGAAGCCTGCCTCCCCTGTGCACTGGGACCCTGGAACCAGACTCGGCCCCACCGTGCCCACTGGCCTCGCACACCCATCAGTGCATTTCACCTGGAGACAGAACGTCTCCAGTACCAGCTCACGGCCTCAGGGCGCTGGTGTACCTCTGCAGCCCACTCCACTGCAGGAGGAAAAGGCAGGGCCGGCCACTAACCTGAATGCTATTTGCTGCCGATACCCCAGGAAGGATCACTGCCTGTCTTTGGCTCCTTCCCTGGCCTGGTTATTACTGCATGAGCGTTGCTCATGCCAACCAGCTCTGGCACATTAGGTCAGGGTTGCATGAAGCATGAACTGTGCCACCCTGAAACTGTTCCCTAGGCAAAAGAGCGTGTTCCTTTAAGCTGCCTGCTGCCCCCGTCAAGCCTGACCCCTGCTCCGGAGGGCCGGGGGCCCCAGCACGCTGCCTGCCCGTCCCGACAGAACTGGCAGCATCAGGTTTAGTTGCACACAGGGTTACCATGCCTGTCGGGCAGGCCTGGAAGAGTCTTCCAGTTTCACGGGGAGGCTCTAGCCAGAGCCCGGCTCAGTTTCCCTTCAAGAGCACTCACTGGGTGGACGACCACAGAGCAGGCACCAGGGCAACTCAGAGCCTGCCCTCTGCTCTGAGATCCCAGTGCCGTAACCCACGGCCCACATCCTGAGGAAGACTCAACTTCTCTGCAGCTGTCACTCCCCCACCCTAGCACACAGGAACGGTCTGAGTTCCTGGCAGTGAGCCGGGTGAGGTTCCTTGAGACCTCTTTGTTGGCCAGCAGCCAAAGGGGGGGCACGGAGCCCCACCGCAGAGAGCACATGCCCCCACAATCCTGTGCACCGAGGCTCACAACAGGTCAGACCCTGGGGGCCGCCCACAAGCCAGCCAGACCACTGGCCAGTCACCTGCGTGCTCTCGAGTCCAGGCAGGGCCAGTACCGGGGACAGAGGAAACTGTCCTTCCTCTCGGGAAAAACGGCAGACACCACATCATAGTTGGACAAACGTGCAAGGGTTCCTGGCAGGGAGCTCCTGAAGCTCTGGAGTGGTCAGACGGGCCCGAGTCTGACCACAGTGCAGACTGGGCTACCTGGGCCTTTCTGGACTACGCTTGAACATCGGCAGAGCACACTGCAGCAATCAGGAATTCACTGCGTAAGAATTGGTTGCAGAGTTGTACAGAACTTCAAAGTCTCACCTGTGGTTTGTTTTATGTCGACTCCAGCAGAATACCCTTCCAGATGTGCTCCTCTCCAGGGAAGTCAGCTTTCACTCTGGAGTGACCTCCGGGTGGACGGCTATAAGCCAGTGCTTGGTGCGCTGCAGTTAACAGCAGGGGGAGGGCAACACCCACACACCCCAAGGTCAGGAGCACTGGATTAGAGGACCCTTTTCTTCCTTCAAACCTTTAGAACCCAAAGTGGTACCTTCTAAGTTCATCTACTCCAGAAAAGACTTGCTTAGAAGGCAATCTTCCTCATTTCCCTCCCTTTTTTCAACTACAGATACATGCTGTATCCAGTTGCATAACTACAGGGAGACCTTGTCTTTACCATGCTTCACAGGTGTTATCTTTGTTACAAATTGAAGGCAATACCGTCGACCGGCAAAATGATTACAACGCACTTTATTAGGGTGGTCTGGAACCACACCCGCCATCTCTCTCAGGTATGCTTGTGTGTATGTACATGATGCCTGAATTCCCTAGTAAGCACCCATAGTTTCCATAAAATCAGATTAAGGCAGACCTTTGTAGTCTACAATCAATTCAAGTTGCAGAATAGCAACACAGACGTGGAAACACCACTGACCCCAGGTAATAAGCAACATGTTTTGTGAGTAGGGTGGGCAACTGCAGAAGGCAAAGTTCAACACAAACCCAAAGCAGCAGCTACAAAACAGGGCCGACTTCAATACTCTAATATCTTAGGAAAACTTAGGTTAATTGTAACATTAAAGCAGAGACAAAATATAATTTTAACATTGTTTTAATCAAGTAATGTAGCTGTTTGAAACAGGAAATTTTAAGACAGTTGAATAGAGCAAAGTGAAGGATTACTCTATTAGGATAGCCTCTGTGAATAAAATTCTTATGTGGACTTAAATCTATTGGAAATTTGGCACCAGACTGAACACAGGTCTAAGTCAAAATTTTCTTTAGTGTTTAGAAGCCCTGAACATTGTTTCCTTAAAAAGGAAATCAACTTCTGTAACATGACCTCATTAGCTTGACACTGTATATTGAACAAAACTTGACCCAGGCCACCAGCATCTCCTGTAGAATTTCAAACAATGAAAGCAAACTGGCCCGTGGCAAACAGTCTGAAACCTAGGTGAGATGAGAGGGTGCAGAAACCTCTTTTCTTTGGTGTGACAGAGCACATTCCTTCCAGGTTTCCGGCTTCGGCTTCTGCTTCACTCTCATCCAAACCTGTCAACAGGCAGCCGGAGATCAATTCATACCTCTCTAGTAAAATCACTAAATTTTAATTCTTAAAATACCAAGCTAACAAGGTTTTATTATATCAAATGTTTGTATAATTTCAATGTGAAAACATTTTTACATACATTTGTTAAGGTCTCATTATAATCTGAAATGGATCACAAACAGAGGTGAATGATGTAAGCCTGTGCCCCAAATTAAAACTAACCCCCTATGGTTCTTGATTTCCACAGTGCACTTTTAATAAAAAGGAATAAATGCAACAATTTTTTACTTTGAAAATGATTTCTCAGATATGGCCAGAACCCATAACATGTAGGTTCAGATCAACTAATTGGGCAGAATTCAAAAGGAAGTTATTTGTAAATCTAAAGCCCAGGACGGGCAGGGCCAAAGCCCTAGTCACCTGTATTCAGTGGCCATCACCAAGACTTCATGAGTGTCTGATTATATTCAATGTGAAACAGAAGACACCCCAAGTCTCCCACCAAACTATAGGCTGACTTAGAAGTACAATTTTAGTTTTCTTTTTAAATAAGACATTTTGCAAAATAATAATAATAATAATAAAGTTTGAGACATAGAAACACTTATTTCGGCAAGATAGCAACCAAAACCTACGTGTTCAAATGTAGAAGACATTAAAGAATAAGCCCCAGTATCAGGGAAAACCCACACTGAACAAAACACACAATATGTCTAAACACTTTGAAATTGTAATTTAAACCGTTAAGCATGAAAGCTGAAAAATTATGTTTTTTGCTAGGGATTAAGTGCACCTTTTCCTTCTTCCCCCAAATAAAATCATAGCATTTACTATTTAATCATATCCCAAAGCTGAGAACTTTCTCTCAGCACAAAGCAACAGCCACATACACATAAAACACTTATTTATTAATGTAGTAATTCCCCTGGCTCATCCAACTTGCAATGCACACGACTTCAAAGACTACAATTTGGGGCAAGTGTATGCAAACCCAAAGGAAAAAAAAATTTCAAGTTTTAAAACCTGCTCTTAAAATTCTTTGTAGGACACTTGGGTCCTTTCTCTCTCTCAGTAAGATAAAGGCGTCCCACTGTCCACCCTGGCAGGTAAGAATGTACATTACCAGATGCCAATCTGAGGGACTAGAGATAAGACATAGGAAAGTCCTGTATTTCTTAATGGCTGAATAAGATAATTACAAGTAAGTGTATGTTTACATTCTGCTAAAGACCTCTTCGCCGCCTCAGCACCTAGCAGTTTCTAACAGGCCCCAAGAGTTCTATCCAGTTAAATGATAGTACAATGCTTTTTAAAGGAGCTAATTATTTCAGCTTAAGTCATTCAGAGCCAAAAAATTTTAAGAATGACCGAAATCAAATATTTTTATAACTGTATAAATGTGATCCAAATGTGTCCACCACTAATTTTTCAAAAAGAAACATGCTATAAATAAGCGAACTACGTCTGCTCACTGATATGTGTATGGACTCCCGAGATATCTTGTTGGGCTTAATTACAGACCACTCACAGCAATACGTTTTTTAGCAGAAAGTGTAGCATGATGTTAAGCCTTTTAAGCTTTTGCACATACATGTTGCACTTCTGGCTGATGATGCAGAAAGATTCTCAGCATTACAGTTAAGCTGGGCTACACCCACCCCTTAAATGGCATCAATATCAATGTCATCGTCCTTGTTATCAGACTTCACAGCTTCAACTTTCGGCACATTGGCAGTCTTCGAATACACCACCTGACAACAGCAAAAAAATTTTTTAAGTTGCATGTACACCTTCATGTCAGTGGTAAACAAGGAAGGAAAATTAGCCCTGGCAGGGTAGTGCAGTTGGGTACAGCGTTTGTCCCAATACACCAAGGTTGTGGGGGTTTGATTCCTGGTCAGGGCACATTAAGTGGAACAAGAAATCAATGTCCCTCACCCGGAAAATCAGTCAACTTTTTAAATTAAAAACAACCCCTCAAGTAAAAAATCATTTAGATGCAGCCGTTGCTTTTTTTTTTCCCCTCCCAAAAACCCTCTTTTCTGTTTAAGAGCTATGTTGTTAATTTTTATAGACCACTAGCACCTCTGTATGTACCCTGAATCATTTAAATAAAGCTTACATTAGAAATTCAGACATTTATTTGGAATCATGTATGGGGATGTGATTTTCACTACCCTTTATAATATTAAGGACCATCTTCCAAATCATCAAGACAGTGTTTTACTGCCTGAATCGCCTAGGCTGGCCATTCTCAAGCACCCATCACTCGCACTAAATCTAACCCTTTCCTCAGTGCTTACCTCAATGTTCTCATCTTCATCTTCTTCTTCACCACCAGAGGATTCCTCCTCTGCTTCCTTCAACCACTTTATAAATGGTTCTGCTTTGACACGAATCTCTTTGGCAAGTTCTTTTGAGACATATTTCTTTGAGGCCTAAAAAGCATAAGAAACCATTTTTAGTTTAAAGAATTAAAAAATAATTTCAGTTCTTTGTACAGCTGCTCAAACTGAGCTCTTTGAGACAACTGGACCATACCATAATTTTTTTTTTAAAGTTGTTTTTTTTTTTGAGAAAGAGGGAAACACTGATGTGAGAAAGAAACATCTGTGGGTTGCCGCTCACATGTACCCAGCTGGGAACCTGGCCCATAACCCAGGCATGTGCCCTGACTGGGAATTGAACTGTCACTGCAGGCCAGTTCTCAGTCCATTGAGCCACACCAGCCAGGGGCTGCCATATCATAACCTTGTATCCTCACCAGAATACTTCCATTTAACAAAAAAATTATCAAAGAGTCTGCATAGTTTCTTGTTATTACTAGCAAGCTGCCAGCCATGGTGGGAAATCCCCTACAAGTTACATTGGTCAGGCACATCAACTGTTTTGTGTGATACCTGGCCTGCAACCCAGGCATGTGCCCTGACTGGGAATCAAACTGGTGACCCTTTGGTTCACAGGCCTGTGCTCAATCCACTGAGCCACACCAGCCAGAGCAACTGTGTGCTTTTTAAAAAAGGTTTTATTTGCTTATTCTGAAAGAGGGGAAGGGAGAAAAACATCAATTGCCTCTCACATGCCCCCCAACTAGGGACCTGGCCCACAACCCAGGACCATGTGCTGATGCAGAATTGAACCTGTGATCTTTTGGTCCATGACCTGAACTCAATCCAGTGAGCCACACCAGCCAGTGAACAACTGTGCTTTTGTGTAGAGAGAGAGTACCTATTAAATTACTTACTCCAAAAAACAAAACAAAACACCCCCCAAATCTTTTGATCTTGAAGAGCCGTTTATGTACTTCCCACCTTCTCCGACCAGCTGATGATGACCTCCTCCTCCAACAGGTCCGCGTCGTACATCTCCTTTAAGATATGTGGGATCTTGGAGACGAGCTGAGCTTGGTGCATCGCCACCACACACTCCAGACCATGAAGCAGGTACCGCTGAGCTTTTTTGTTGTTGTGACAAAACTGCAAAGAGATTTTATCTCCGTGTTACCAAGCTTGTACAGATATCCTAAGCTGACAATTCTCATACGCATCTATTTTCAATGCCTTAGGGTTGTTCCTTAAAGTTATGGCCCCACAAAAATGGTTCAAAAAGGCCAACACACAAAGAGCTCAGCATCACTTTATCTGTGAGAGACCACGTGCAGTCTTCACATTCTGCCATGCTTGCAAGGTACGCCCGTTACCTCCGTTTTCAGGATGACAAAGAACAAATGGGTGAGAGAGGGTAGAGCAATGTTTCCAAAGTCACATAGCTGTAATCTCATTTATGAATCTAAAATTTCTTACTCGTAGGAAATGGCGCCTGTATTTCTTAATCTGTTCTCTAATCTTCTCATTAAAAAGAACTTCTGTCAAAACAAGAGGGCCCATAGCTTTCACATCTAGTCTTTCTGCTTCAGCAACAATTTCTTTGTCACAGGAGTCAATAATGCCCTCTTCTTTCTTTTTCTGCAAATAAAAGGAAGCATTTCAGTGAAATGGAGTCACATTTTGCTGTGGACATACCTGTTAGTTCCCCACCCTCACGATTATTTCCCCCATCTTGACAGTTCTAAGACTTCCAAATGATCGACAACTGCCCAAAGTACTGTATGGAAACTGTATTTGAACAAACAAAAAGTAAAAGGAAGCCTTGCATTCAAATACTCAAAAGACAGCATGAAAAAGTTACTTGCCAACTACCTGCTCGAAGTAATAAATGTCTAACAAACACCTGAGCTTAGACTGAGGTTGAGTATATTGATCACCGCTGTTGAAGCAAATGTTTACCTTGACAAAATCAAACAGGATGTTGACCCGCTCTTCAATAGTCCTTTCCAAATCATCACTGAGTGTCAGAACTTTTGCGTGGTCACTGATTTCATCCATCCTGCGTCTCTGCGCTTCCTCAGTTGTGTCCTCCCCCCAGTCATCATCCTCTTCTTCCTCCTGTTTACAAGGGCAGAGATGCTTGGTGAAAAGCCTTAAAAACGTAAAAAATGATTCTCATTTCTAGTCAAGTAAATGACATCAAGTGCATTTTCCATTAAGTTGGAGTCACCTAAATTGAATCGCTCGCACCTGCAACCCAAGATGCTGTTTCAGTGTTTCTGCTCACTGTAACCAAATACACGTTACACAGCCCCGACGCCTCCCACACCACCCACCGACCCTGCACTCACATCAGCGTGTGGAGGGGGACTCATCTCACTCGGTGGCGGCGGCGGTGGCGGCGTCTCACTGGTGGACACGGAGCCGTTTTCCTTGTCTTTGCCTTTCCTATTTTTCTTTTCCTTTTCCTTCTTTCCTGCAGCACTATCACTATTCTCTATAGGGAAACAAAAGAGGGAAGTTTAGTACCCCAGCTTGTTTTTTCCAGTTGTGAACATTTAAAACCCCCCTCTCAGAAAACCACAAACACCTAGCTACCTAAAATTTCAAGAGAATTCACAGACCAAATTCATCCACTGTACCTCACAGAAGAAACTTAGGTTAAGAATGGGAGATCCCAAACATTAATGGTATTAACTTTGGTTAAGAGTAAGATGAAAAGATGACTCAGAAGACCCAACAGTGAAGGCTGGCATTCATGACCCTCTTCTATCACTCATGAACTTGAACGAAGGACACAGCTCAACTGCCCTTTAACTGGCAGCTGCAACACTGTCTAAGTCTGTATAACGGCTTGTCTCATGGAGGAGAGAGCCGGAATAGGTTAGACTCTGTTGCTGTAGCAAGCTCAAATTGTGCCAGACAGTTTTGATCATCTGCCACAGAGTGTTGCTTGCGATGCTCTCAAGTGCCTTAGCCTTAAGGAGCTAAGCACCCCCGTTTACAAAGCAGTATTCCAGAAGAGCCTTTGTGACGACCCCCCACAATGTGAACTCATCCTAAGAAGACACACACACACCTTCACTAAAACATGACAAGAGATGATAAATCCCTTATATTCGTATTACAGCAACAACGAAACTTCCACTCCATTTCCAAAAATCAGCTGCCCTATGGAAAGATCGTAGAAGTTCACCACGAAGACTTACCCGGCGGGTTTTTGAGAATGAATGTGCAGAGTTTATGGTGTGTGTCGAGCATGCCCCGGTAACCACAGGCTTTACAAGAATTACCTATCGTTTGCTTCTTTGGATTGACATGCTGCCAAGTAAAAAAAAAAAAAAAAAGAAAAAAGAAAGAAGTATGTCATCCATAATAAATGATAAAAATTCTGCAAGGAACAAATGTGAAAATGACCAACAGAAGACATCTAACTAAAACACCAGCTTAACACACAAAAGCATTTCTCCAGTGATCTACTACCAAAAAAAAAGTATCTAAACATCTTCAAAATCTTTATTTCCAATGAAGTCTGCTCTGCCTTGTTAAGAACACTACTTGGGCTATCAAGGACGACTGATCCCAGAAACAGGTTTGTTTCTTCAGTTTCTTCCGCTGCTGACAAAAACCTCCAAGGCACTCACCAGCTCCGTTTCAGGGTTCTCACACTCAGGACAGAGAACGAATTTCTTGATGAAACCATCCAACATGTCTTGCAGCTTATTCGCCTCATGAGATCCATTGACAATGTAACGGTCATTCTTAACATCAAACTGGGTCTGTGCTCCCAGCTCACAACCAAAATATTTGGTGGGATCTGTTTAGGAAGACCACAGTTAACCAAATTAATCTTCATCTACCCAGATGTGTTTATATAATTAACATCCTCTATACGACCGGGCAGGGACAGTAAAAATGTGTTGCCGGGCCCTGGCCAGGTGGCTTGGTGGGTTGGAGCGCCATCCCATGCACCAGCACCAGGAAAGAGTTGGGGTTTGATTGCCAGTCAGAGCACATACAAGAGCAACCAACGGATGTTTCTCTCTCTCCCTTCCTCTCTCTCTACTTTCAACAGAAACATATCCTCAGGTGAGAAAAGATTCAAGAGGGTTGCCTGGGTAAATTTCGGTGCTGCCTGCAACTAGTGCATCGGCTGGTTCGAAACCCAAGGTCTCACCTGACCCTCAGGCTAAGCAGCTCACAACCCACAAGACCCCCAGATGGGCATGACTGCGCCAACACGCTGCCCTGCTCCAAGAGGCGTTACTTACACGTTGGAGGCCGATTAAGCGCCTTTGCAACGTCAACCATGTTGACTATAACTGTCTTGATTCCATTTCCTTTGCCCTCAACCTAAAGGAAATAAGAATTTATTTTTGCACTGTCTACCCGAGAGGCAATCTTTCACAAATCCACGAAGACGACCTAGGACCTGCCGCTGCAATGAAGACGTGCGGTTACCTTGGCAATCAGACGGGGCATCTTGTAGCGATAGAACTGGTCTGACACGCTGCGGTTGACGTTGACAGACATTTTGGCTTATTAGTGGCTTTATCAATAAGATGAAGAGCTCTTTGATTGCAACTTTTTGGTATCTTCTGTCTGGAGAAGAAGGGATGACATAAACGACTGCAAGAGTTCTCGGTCTCTGACATGAAAAAGTTTTCGCCACTGAGGCTGTAAGCTCCTTGCTTGTACGCTATGTTTCCCCAATACAGGTACCAATGGCTGCGCAACAGCTCTGAAAGAGACGGGGAGAGAACACACACGCCCCCCATTTAGCTCGGCCCCGGCGGGACACCCCCGAGTCCGCTCGCGTCGCCACGCCCGCGTGCCCGCGGACACCGGCCTTTCTGACACCGGCCCCCGCAGCCACGGAGACGGCCCCGCGGGGTTCCGGCGAGCCCGGCACCGAAACGCCACGCCGAGAAGTCCCCGCGCCGCTCGGCCGCCGCAAAGCGAACCCACCCGGCGGCCCGACGCCCACCGCGAGGGGGAAGGAGCCCAGAACCCCGTCCCCCAAAGCCGGCGCCGAGTTCCGGGGCGCCCCTCCCCCGCGGCCGTCGTTCTGGGACGCGGAGCCTGCTCCTCACAGCCCGCTCCCGCCGCCCCGGTGCCTACTCCGAACACACAGCCCCACCGCACCTCGGACCTGCGGCCCCAGCACCGGCGCGCCCTGCGCGGCCCCGCTCCCGCTCCGCTCCGCTCGGAGAGTCGCTGGACCTCCGCGGCCGCGAGCCGGACGCCGCGGAGCCCCGCCCCGGCGAGGCCTCTCCCGGGCGGCAGGGGGGCCGGGCCGCGGCCCGCCCGCCCGCCCGAGCGCCAGCGCGACCTCCGCGGGGGCTGGGCCGCGGCCGCGCGGGGCCGGGGAATCGAAACCGGCCGCCGCCCCGCCCCGCACCATGACTCACAAATGCAGCACGGAGGCCGGGCCCCGGCCGCGCGGCGCGCTCCCGCGGGGCGGGGCGGGGCGCGGAGGGGACGCGGGCCCGCGGAGGGGGCGCCCGCCGCCCGCCCGCCCGAACTGCGCCACACGCGCCGGGTCACGCGGCGCGCCGCCATCTTGTGCGGCCGCCATCTCCCCGCCGGCCCGCTCCGCCCGCGACTCACCGTTTTCGTCAAATAAAGACATAAACCCAACGCTGCTCGCCCGGGACTGGGATGAAGTGAGGCGCGTGCGAACCCGAGTCCGAGGAGGGGCGGCGGAGAAGCGCAGCGAGCAGCGGCCGGGCAGGCGCCGCCGAGCAGCGGGGAGGGGCTGTCCCAGCGACGTCCGGGGTCCACACCCTTCAGCGCCCGGGGCCTGGCGACCTGGCGCGGAGAGACGGCGCCGTGAGCCGCGGGCGTCGGGGCGCCTTCCCCGCCAGCCAGCGGCCCGCGGGGGTCGAGGGGGCGGGGAGGGCTGGGGAGGGGGCGCGGGGCCGCCAGCTCGCCACCGGACTCACCTCTGGAATGTTCTCGCTCTGACTGAACAACGCCGCCGCCGCGCTCAAGCTACCCTCGACCCCGGTGCCCGCCCCCCGCGCCAGGCAGCACAGCCCATTGGAGGGAGGCCCTCCCGAGCTCGCCCGTCATTGGCCCCCGCCCCGCGTCAATCGCACCTTTCCCCGCCCCTTCTGCTTCCCGAGGCTTCGCTCGCCGCCTCGGCCGGCCCCCAGACCCGGGTCCCAGCTTCCTTCACCTGCCCTCCCCACCCCCGCGTTTCCCAGAGGCCTCCGCGGCCTCGCGAGAGAGGAAGCGCCCCGGAGTCGGGGGCGGCGCGGCCGCGCTTTGTAGGTTTGGCCGGCCGGGGGAAGATGGCGGTTGGCTGCCTTCCCCGTTGGCCTGTGCCGGCCCCGTGGCGCCCGACTTCTCCCCGCGGTGGATGCGCAGCCCTGTCTGGGGGCGCTTAGCCCTCTCCTTTCCGTCCCCTGGGGTTGTCCGCTCTACGGGAAGTTTTATCTGCCCACCCCCTAGGCCTGGGCACAGACTGGGTGAAGGCTGGAGGCCCTTTAACCTTCCGGGCTCGGGTCTGCGCGGCCGCGGCGACCGTGACCTGCCCAGTGCCCCTAACTGGGTGTTTGGGAGACCGGCTCGCCCACCCGCCCTTCCCGCTTCTTGCCCGGAGCCTTGCCCACACGCCTTATTACGTGGGATGATCGTTCCTACAGTCGCTTCACCAGTTTATAAGTTGTGATTTATGGGCAAAGCATAACCCAAAGCAAGTGTTTCCATTTATTCACCTGAAAATGAGAGCGATTTAGAAAGAGCCTCCTATTTCGGTTCTCGTGATTCCTGAAACTCCCGTTCGTTAAACACTTTTGTGTAAAAGGTTCCCGTTGCGACAGTAAAAAGTCAACAGTCCATCCTGAAATTGGAAAACACGCTCGACTGGGAAACAAGAGCAGGATAACGGAGCCGCTGGCCTCGTGTCCAGGGTGCCCAAGTCTCGATAAAATAGCAGGACTGCGGAGGGCAGCGTGAGGTGGGAAAGGGGCTGCCCGCTGCCGTAGACCAGTGCAGTCCGCAAGGAGATGAGAATGCAAAGATAGAGTGGTTTATTAAGTTCAAGATTACTCTTCCATGATTGATAAGCTTTAAAAACCATGTTCAGGTTGGCAGCGTGGATGGCGAGAGTAAGTGAAAGGGAGGTCTAGAATTGAGAGAAGGGCCTCGAGTCCCAGGGAGCGGGGCGGAGGTCAGGGTCGGGTCGGGCCGGCGAGCTGCAAAGGAGGGTCCCAGCGGCGTTGCTTCCCGTTCACCTCTGAGCATGACTTAGCAGTATTGAAACAAGTTAAGTTTTTGCATGACCGCATGCAAATGACATTATTTTAGAAACTCTGTTGGAAAATAGAGCATGAAACTAGTCTGAGGTAAGAGGCCTGCCTCCTCAGTCAAGGTTTTAAATAACCAAATAGAAAGTGAGTAATTTTTTTTTTTTTGGTATGGTTAGTGGCCCCATATTTAATTTTATCTTAAAAGTTTGTACTGCCCTGGCTTGTGTGGCTCAATGTATTGAGTTCTGGCCTTTGAACCAAAAGGTTGTCCGTTGGATTCCCAGCCAGGGCACACGCCTGGGTTGTGGGCCAGGTCCCCGGGGGGGCACATGAAAGTCAACCACACATTGATGTTTCTCTCCCTCTCTTTCTCCCTCTCCCTCTCTCTAAAAACATATAAAATCTTTTAAAAATTTTAAAATCAAGCATTTTGCCCAAGATCACGTACCTGCGAAGGGACAGAGCTAGACCTTACACCCGGGCCTGTGTGATCCCAAAGTCTTAACCCCACGTGCCAGAACCTCTCCGGATGAATATAAACACAAACGAGGCAATTTCCGTAGGCAGTCTCACTTAATAACAGCCATGTGAAGGGGTGTTGTCAAACCCATTTTCAAGGTTAAAGAGACTCAGGAAGGTTAAGTAATTGTCCCAGAGTCACCCGCCTGATAAATGGTGGACAGCGTTTGAACTCCAGCTTTGACGCCAAGTTCATTGCACAATTCCACCTGCCTTTTCTGGGTTCTCCGCCTCACTTGGCTGCATTATTTCCTCCAGTCAGGTGCTCGAAGTTTGCTAAGTAATGAGCACGCGGTGCTTATGAAATCCTTCGGGAAGGAGTTCCTGAATTACGCGTTTGAGTGCGTGCCCTGGACAGCAGACATAAACAGCAGCCGAAAAGGTAGATTAGTGCTATACGGTTGTTTACCCATGGGTGTCTGTGAGTCTGTTTAGCGTGAAGTAGCCGCCTTGAGCAACATCAAGTCTGTGTGGGTGGAGGCTCTTGTGCTTGAGATGCGGGCCACTGGGGGACCAAGCATTGTCCTCTGTGACGGGCCCTGTGGTTGTCCGGCTGGCCTCCCTCTATGACACTTCTCTCTCAGCTTTCTCTAACCTTCACTGTGTTTCACAGCTGCACAGTATGCCCTGGCTGGTGTGGCTCAGTGGGTTGAGAGCCAGCCTGCAAACCAAAGGGTCGCCAGTTCAATTCCTAGTCAGGGTACATGCCCAGGTTGTGGGTCAGATCCCCAGTGTGGGGAGGGGGTGTGTGTGAGAGGCAACCACACATTGATGTTTTTCTCCCTTTCTTTCCCCCTCCCTTCCCCTCTATCTAAAATAAATAAATAAATAAATAAAAATATATATTTTTAAAAGGTAGTGTAAAAAACAAAGCTGCGCATTGTTAGCCACGTAAGTCCCTGGCTCCCGTCCTTGAGGAGGAGCTACAGGGATGAGCCGTGTTTTTCTTGTCTCTCCAGCCTGTCTCGGCGGGTGCGCAGCGCAGACACTGGAAGGTGCTGGGAGGGAACCGGAGGCTATCTGGCGTGCACAGAGGTGGGAGCAGGCGTGGGCTCGTTGAGGGTTCGTGTCCTGCACCGTCGTAATCTAGCGCACCCGCACCCGTGTCAGTAAACACCACTGAACTGCTAGGCGGCGAGGATCCAGGCCCCACCTACCACACAGGCCCTGCCCAGAGAGGCCGCACGTAAACATGCCTGGTGGACACCCCTCCAGGGCGTGCCCCCTCCAGGGCATCTCCGAGCCTCTCTCTGGGCAGGGTGTCTCCCCACCTTCATGACCCCCCCCCCCACACTCCACTGGCGTCCGTGGAACTTGACTGCAGTTGCCTGTTTCCTTGTCCGCCTTCCGCATGAGGCTGCACATGCAGGCTGGGGACTTGCCCTTGAGAACAAAGGAGTCCGAACTTTGGAAGAGACTCGGGTCCTTCGGCTTCGCAGGGGACAGAGGCAGGCGCAGAGGCCTCTGGGGGAGCGGTGAAGCCTCCTACCGAGATGTTACTGGGGACGCACCCCACCTTCCTCCTCCATCACGTACAGTTGCGACCAAACTGCGCCTCTCAGCCTTCCAGGGAAGAGAAACAAGCGGTGGAGCCGCGTGGAGGACGGGGGAGCAGGCCCTCTTCCTGGAGGGGCCGTGCGGGTCACACGGGAGCCATGGCAACACCCAGTCCAGGACAGCGCCCGTGCTGCCCGCTCCGGGCTGGCCTCAGGTCCTTTCTTCAGGGAAGCCGGGCGTGTGGCTGCCGAGCCGGGCCCTCCCCTGCGTGACTCAAGCGACATTAGTCCCACGCAGCGAGCCGCCCCGGTAGACCCATGTGCACACGAGAGGGCGGAAGAGGTGAGGTGTGGCCGGACGCTGGGACTCCCGCTCCTGTCGGGACGGCCATTGGCAGACCTTTACGAAAGAGCATCTTCTCACGTCCCCAACCCCTGCCCCACGTTTCCTCACCCACAGGAAGTGTCTGCGCGGCGGGCAGCAAGCCCACTGATTGCTGATCGCTGGCGGGCTGTGGGCTGGGCTGGAGCACAGCGCCAGGAAGCTGGGCTTGTCACCTCCTCGGCTGGGCCAGCTGCCACTCTGGGCAGTGCCTCCATCAGGGGCGCGTGTGGAGTCCAGACACCTGTGGCTGCGTCCTGGGCTCGCCCCTCCCTCCCTCCCTCCCTCCCTCCCTCTCTCCTCCCACCCTCCCTCTCTCCTCTCTCTCTCCCTCCCTCCCTCTCTCCCTCCCTCTCTCCCTCCCTCACTCCCTCCCTCCTCCCACCTTCCTCTCTCCTCCCTCCCTCCCTCCCTCCCTTCCTTCCTTCCTTCTTTCCTTCCTCCCTCCCTCCTTTCCTTTCTTTCCTTCCTTCCTTTCTTCCTTTCCTTCTTCCTTTCTTTTGCTGATAGATCCCAGGTGACCCAGCTGCTGCTGGTCCCAGGACTGTGCTTGGCCTTCAAGCCAGGGGCCCCTGGCTTTGGGACCCAGATCCCTCTCTGCCTTCACCACAGTCTCAGGAGCTTCCTTCCGAGATGTTCCAGGGGCCTTCGTTCCGGCAGTCTGCGAATGAAAATGAGCGAGAAGCAAAGTCAAGGTCCCAGTGACCACGCCCCTGTGGGGGACCCAGGCCTAGTGGTGTCGTGGTGGCACTGTCTGTCGGAGACTCTACATTGTGCTGACCTTGCCTGTTAGAATTATGGTAATGGTCTCAATGACACTGCGCTGGGCCAAAGGCCTGTCACCGTTGTCCTCTCATTGGCGTCCTGACCTCAGGGAGGTGGCGAGAGTGCACGTTGTCCCCCTCCTCCCATGGGTGGGGGAACTGTGGCTCACAGAGAGGGTTTGTCTCCAGGTCCGGGTCAGGTGTCCTGCCACCGTGGAGGGCCTGGCTGTCCCGCTGGGCTCTTCCGGGTTCGAGAACTCCGCCTCTCTTCCTCCAGCGGGGTCTGGGTGGCTCTGGTCCCTTTTCCAGGCACATCCGGGAGGAGGCAGGGTCCAGGGCTGAAGACACATTTCCCTTTGCCACCGATTTCCATCAACCAGCCGCCGGGCCTGAGCTGGACACCAGAGACGCTCACTGGCCATCGGACGTGCTGCGTCTGCTCACACCCTTATCTCTTCTGTGAGCCAAGATTTAAGGACCTGGGAGATTTCGCCTACAGATCTGAACGTCTGGTTTCTCAGGAAATCGGAGGCCCTGGCACTCGGGGACATGTCCCCAGGAGGTAGCTCTTCCAGGAGAAAGGCTCTCGTCATCCAGAACCTGGGGTGGGGGTGAGTGGTCACAGACGCGAGCTGCTGTACCCCACCTCCACCCCGTCCAGGTCTGCGAGCACACCCACACCTGCG